AATATAATAAATAAAACAAACCTAACCACTGAATAATTCATGAGTTGACACTCAGGAGGAGTGCAGTGGGTGGGAGGATGGTTGCATCATCACTTGTGTCTGGGCCTGTCTTATGAGTTCTTTATTCCAACCCTGAAAATGCGAGAGAGATTTGGGAGGGGGGGGCGGGGTCGTGTTTGTACAAAAACCTCACAGTGAGAGTGGGAGAGAGCACGGGTAAAGGGCAGAGAATGTAAAGTCTCAAACAATAGCTCAATTTCAACCATGCATCCACACTTCTGGCTTTACATGCTCTTCAAAAATACTGGAACAAAGAAGGATGGGTGTGGCTGCAATGCCGGAGGCGAATCTGGGAATCCTCCCAGGAAAAGCCCTGAACACTAACTGCCCCTCAACCATTTCCCCTCTGACACTTGGAACATGATTAAGACGTGTCTAGAGCCAGAAGAAAGATTATTAGGCGCAGTGCATCCCTTAAAGCTGGGTAAGGTGTGAGCTTGTCTTATTTTCATCCGCAAGAAGAAACTGTTCTCCTGGAAGACACGTAAAATGGGATCAATCAGAGCAAAGATACTCTGATGGGGAGATGAGAAGTGGAGCGATGCACGCCACAGAGCAGAGGCAAAGCAGCGCTAAGAGGAGGGAGGAGTCATCTTTTATTGATTCAGGCATTAATGTACATTATGTACAAATTGGTCGAGGGTGGCCCCTCATGCGCAGTCCTGTGCTGTGCCAACAAATTGAAGCAATTGCCTTGATATCCACTTGTGGGCGTATGGGAGATTGCATTTCAAATCCAATGTGATTTTTTTTTTTTTTTTTTTGTTTCCTTGTTTGTTTGGACATTTTACCCCACTCATTTGATCCATACTCCATACTTATTAATAAGAAAAAGAAGAAAAAAAGCTGCAATAAATATCTGTGAATCTTCACTTGTCGAGAGTCCCACCCCTGCTTTTATTTATGACAGCTGAAAAGTGCACAGGAGGGCGTAAATAAAGAATGGAGACTACCTATATTTCCCAAAGGTGGCTCTGACTCTGACAGTTGACAATTTGTCAGCCTTTTCATACCAGTGGGGCAAACATCATGAATCAGCTTGCTCAGGAGGGGAGAAAACAAAGATATATGTCCAAGAGCTTGGATGTTTTGTGCTCCTCTATGCTGAAGATACTTGTGTTTATTCCAATAATTGGATCTTATTAAAATCTTCTGTTCTCAAGTCACATATGTGAGGTTTTATGCAGAACTCCATTCCAATGCAGACTCTGACCAAGGTCTGCACACAGACAAAAGCAAACACACTTGACACACGCGCACACACACAACCGTGTCCCTTTGTGGACCGTTGCCATGCAACATTTCTCTGATTGGGTTAGTTGAGCTCTAGTGAATGTGCACTCACACACACACACACCACAACACACACTCCTCCCGGTTGATGAGGATCAGATCACACACAAACTCGTCGCCACACCCATCCTCCTCTCCCGCGGGACGCAGCTGCTCCTCCAAGGCCGAGGATGGAGAGGGGAGAGAGACGTGGCTCTTACAACAGGAGGGAAGTGGTCTCCTCCTCTCTGTGAGCTCTGCTGCTCAGTCCAGGGTCGAAGCTTTCCTTGGCTGTGATGATTGATGGTTCTTTGTTGGTTAAATTAAGTTTTATTACCATTAAATATCAACTGCACAACCCATTTTTTTTCTTAGAACACATACACTTTGCCATTTAACCAGCGATTAACAACACCATTTGGATTCTGCTTCGTGTGTGTGTCAAGTTCGTTTTGTGATTTTTATTTTATTTTATTTTATTTATTTATTTTTTTTTTTTCATTTCTAATGATTTTCCTATGAAAAGGATGCATTCACGTCAAGTGGACTTGAAATCGACACACTCCACTAGAGCTTTGTTTTACTATATTTGCTGGAGAACTTCTAAGCCTATTTTCTTTTGTATGAGTTTATATTTGTGTTTACAATGGAAGCTGATCTGTCTTCAGAGGTACACATTGATCGTATAATCCCAAGATATATTAAGTCTCGAGTCATTTTGTGTGTGACTAAACTGTTTGTGTTGGATCCTCTCGGAAGGGTGAAGTATCAAAGATTAGACATCGATTGTTCGGTTTTGTTGTTTACAAAAATTTATTCATACAAATCTTACAACACTTTCATGACATTGAGAAACGTAAGAACCCCATATAAGGACTTGTATGTGTTTAACGATGCCACTTTGCACTGAGGTTAAGTTCTAAAACATAATGTTCTCAAATAGATAAGAGTTTACACATTGAAGTAAGGCGTTGGGCGCTGTCAGAACTATCAACAACAGGCATTTTCTATGATCTGAACAACATCTCTGTTATTCTGCTCTTAAACCCTTTTTTTTTATTTATTCGAAATAGTGTTGCACAGAGTCGTAAATGATATATATAGGGGCTATTTTTTGATCATATAAGTTACTGACCAATATCAAAATAATCAACAACACCTCATAATCAACAATAACAAACACTGGTCATTGTTCACAAACTCTCACAGACACTAAACAACCCAAACTCATGCACACGCACACACACACACGCACGCACTCGCATGTTGCCTGCTCCACCAACATATACATTCTATTCTTGTCTACAATATATATATATATATATATATTTTATTTTTTTTACTCAAAAAAACTCATTGGCCATGCTGTGAAAACAAAAGCCTAATTCTACTACTGTTAGGGCAGACTAAGCTGAGCAATTAAACAGAGTAAAAGGAAGTTTCAATGTAAGCTAATGGACTGCAGCATCGTAGGGCCACTGAAATTGCCATCTGTCACTCGTGGCGAATTTTTCTTAGTTTTTTTTTTTTTGTTCTTTTCATTTTTTTTTTTTTTTAGGTTTCTCACATCAAAGCAAGGCACAAAAGCCAAACGCTGTTTCCACCTCCACGTCTGTGTTCGGTCACTCATGATACACATACATGTGCGTTTGCCACACACACACACACACACACACACACACACACATACACACACACACACACACATGCACACGCACGCAAGCACACCACGCACACGCATACACACAAAGCTTGTGGTTTAAAGTCAAATTAGAAGACGAGTGTGTTGGTATTTTCTATGGGGAGAACACAGACTGCTGATTCGATTGCAAGCGTACGCACAAAGCTGCAGTTGCATACGAGGGAATAAATACTTGGAATGTTCCCTTATAAAAAGTCAGGAGGGGAGGGTTTCCTGTCTGCTGGAAAGGGTGAACTTCATTCAGCCGTGTTCTGGCATTAGAGGGAAAACCTATCATCCTGCAGGAAAACCTCTGTGAAGGGAATTCAACATCTGATATTCTGCTTTTATCAGACTCATTGACCCTAATCTCACTGAGGCAGAAGAAGCCCTCAACTCTTCTCTGATTTTAACACATCCTGCCTTCCCTGACTCTTGGGGTGCTGCGGCTGGTTTCTTGTGCAACCTCTCTTTCCCTCTCCACTTCTTCAACACTCTCTCGTCTCCATTTCTCAACCTGACACTCCTCCTCGTTCTTTTTCCTCACTGCACAGTAGACATCCGACACAGACCAGCTTCTCACTAACAGTTGAAACACAGCACTAAATCAGCAAAGGCCATGTAGACTAAAACGGAATTTTAAAAAACTGCTACAATAAGACAAAAAGTAATCAGCGTTCTGTTATGTCCACCATGACAGTGGCAGGGGAGGTAAAGATTCAACAAGTCAGTGCAGTTCCAGTATCTACCGCCTCTAGCCCTCATTGTTCACATTTTTTGTCACAATATAGCAGAGGGGAGGGGTTCGGAAATGAGCTTGGCGCAGCCCACTTTACAAAAATAGCAATAAAAGCACATAGGCATGCAGTCTCTACGCGAGAATTAGCAAGGTGTCAGTTTCCACATGCACCAAATAAAAGGTAAATATCCTCCTTCAGCATCCAGGATTCTCATGTTTCCTTTGTGCTTTGTTTCCTGCTTTTCTTTTTTCTCTTTCTCTCTCTGCTACCTGCATACAATGAACAGATTAAGCACATTTTTTTCCAGATATTCCTGTTGGTTTACAACACTGAGAGGATCAAACATTCTTTGCACAGTCCTGTAGAGCGTGATTTATCTCCTACTGTGAAATGACTTTGAGGCAAGTAAGCAGGCAGTGCTTTCTGCTACCATATCTCCTGTAAAGGCAATAATCCCCCTGCAAAAGCCCATGTGTGACTGAATATCCATACTTTCTACACAAACAGGGTATATTTTTTTCTACTAGTAGAATGGATGGATGTGTAAATCATCCACATATCCATCAGATGAGGAGCTGTCCAACAGAACCCATCTCACTTTAACGCCCTGGAGGGGCAGCAAAACTCTCCAAACCCACAGAGCTCCCATTAAAGGGAGTATGGAAAAAAAAAAAAAAAGTAGCATCTATCATTTATGATAAGCCCACATGTGCCTCACGTAGCATGCTCACTGCTTCTTTGGGCCTGCTTTTGCAAAACAAAAACAAAAAAGAAACACAAAAAAAACAACACTAAAAAAATAGACTAAAAAAATAAGTAGTAACATTCAATACTTTGATTGTCTTTTGAAAATCTATTTATTTTCTGCATATGTGGATGACCTTGGGAGATTTCAAGCGCATAAACGTTGAAGGTGCACATCTATCTTTTTTTTCTGATTTCATCATCATCTTTTTTGTCATTTTTTTCTGTTGTTTTCAACATCTCAACATGAAAAATAAAAATATTGGTCCACAAAGTAGCTATAACTGTGCGGTATCAAGTGCTTTTGTACAAAAAGGGAAAAGAAAAAAACGATATTATTAATAAAATATTCATTTTAATGGCTTTACTTCATACATAAATACATGTTGAAAGAACACAGGCGCAATCCACTGGTTGGTCAGATATATCTGAATGACTTTGAGTTAACGACTGGATGTATATACACAGGAGGGCAGTTTTGGGCGCTTTTTCTTTCTTTTTTCTTTCTTTCAGCGGAGCTACAAATAGGCGAGCCGGCGTCCTTTGTTCCTAACTCTCTGTCTGTACCTTCTACCCAGAACCGCTGCCAGGTATTTCTGCACGGCCATCTGCTTTCTATAGCGGCTGTAGCTGTCGGTGAAGATCCCATCTGAGTGTCTTTTGGACAGGGGCTCTGACTCTTCCTCCATGCTGTTGTCGTCACTGAAAAATAATCGGGGGAAAAGACACAGAACGGAAGAAATCACGATGAGATTCGTTAATCAAGCAAGTTCAGCATAAATTTGTGTTTTTAAATTGTTATTATTATTATTATTATTATTATTATTATTATTATTATTATTATTATTATTATTATTATTATTATTATTATTATGTACATATAGTGATTATCATTACGCTTTGATCAACAGTTGGGCCTTTACTCTTTTGTTTTTCGTTTTGTTTTGTTTTGTTTTTGTTTTTTTAATATGTGGAAAATATGATAATACCGAATTCCGCATTTGATTTAAATAAGCGTTTCAATTATTCATCTGAAGCCCAATGGATATTCTGACACATCATTTTTCATTAGCGCTTAGGTTTAGAACAGTTAAATCAGAAATTAATGGTGCAATCACACCTCACTTGCAGGGGATTTTAAAATAAGACTCCTGTTTTTATTACTTTCGTTTTGCAAATCAGAAACACTATAAGCACAATGAAGACCTCTAGAGGGTTTTATGGACAGGCAACACAAAAAATAATAAGAAACAAATAAATAAAAATCACGCACATATAATGAGTGACGCAAGCAGCCTGAAGTTGTGCAGTGCAGAAACATAAAAATAAAAAAAAACTAAAAAAAAACGCTGAAGAGAAATGCCCTTACCCTGCACGAACAGTCATCAGAGAATGCAGATAATGTCTCGCTGTTAACTGACCCAGGATCTCCCTCAAGGCTCTATCTAATTCTTCCTCAGCATGCCTTTCTGGTCTGAGATGATAAAACGCCAAAAAACACATAGATCATCAGAGACTTAAAGGAAAAAAATAATAATGACAGAAACAATGATAAATGAAATAAAAAGAGGCGCAGACAAAAATGATTCAAGACAGCCTAGAATGTCCCCACCCATCGGCATGAGGTTCAAAAATAATAATAATAATAACAATACCAATTTAAAAATAAATAAATAAACAGCATTTAAAAAATTTAAAAAAAAAGCCTTAACATGCTCTCCCTCCGTGATCTTCATGTTCAGCAGAATGGAAACAACAACTTGAGGCTACTCGGTATGGAAGTAAGACAGGGCAAATTACACGGTGCGCTCTGTCCCAGCTGCAGTACGCATTCAAGTGGGATTTACCTTTTTTCTGGTGGGTAGTACAGGCTGTACGCATCGTCGTTTAGAGATGGGGGGCTTCGTATAGCAAGCTGGTCGCTGTCAAAGCCCATGTCGGACAGAGAGTTGCCATCCTCATCAAACGCATCGTTTTCAAGTCTGCAACGTGCAAGGCAGGCGTCAGAAATCCGATGCAGTAAAAGAAAAAAAAAAAAAGAAAAGAAAAGAAATGCGTGCCTCAAACCAGCAGACACGCCTTATGTGTTTCTGATGAAGTAAGAGAAGTATTAAGATATAACTTTTTAATAATTACTTAAAATTACAAACATAAACCCTTTTTCCTTAGGGTAGAAAATCTGTTTTATATTCCAACTTGCTACCGCTGATGATTTCAGCGCAGACTTCACACTCATTAATTATTAAAAAATCGAAACAATAGGTGTTGAAAAAGATCGCCTATAGGCTATAAGAGTGTGGGCGGTGGAGCCTCAGAAGAGAGTGGGGGAATAAATCAATTAAAAGACTGCTTAAAAATAGCTGAAAAAATTCTGAATCGAAGAGAACCACGCCCAAATTTAATTCTGGATATGCTTTTAACAGAAACAAAAAAAAAAAAAGAAAGAAAGAAAGAAAGAAATCTTAAATGGGAAGAGCTCTCCGATTCGTTTTGCCTCGCCTCTCCTTGGTGACGCCAGTCCATCGTCATCCCAAGGGCTATCCAGCGCACCGACTGCTCTCTCATTTTTAATAAGGGGGAGTTCTGCGAGCCGTCCCACCGGACTGATACATGTACGCAATTTCCATAGGCATTTTCCACTCAACACCTGCGTTTGTGTGCTTTGGGGAAATTATTGCACACCCATGTTTTTTTTGTTTTTTCTCTTTTCAAGCTCAGCGCTCTAAAATTGCGCCTATATTTGCGCACTTGTCTGAAATAAAGACATAGGGTTGGAACATTGAAAAATATGCCGCTTAACACAATTTTGAAATGAATAATTTAAAGAATCCTTCAGTATGGAAGGATTAGGACAAACCTACCTGATCTTTGGGTAACTTAGTCCTATAGGTGTGCAGAAGACGCTGTAGTGCATTAAGATTCCGTAGATGAGCAAGATTAAAGTGGCTTTACTCGAACTGGCCATGCTGTCGATGAAATACAGACAGGAAACAGGTTACTTTCTCTGCTGAGAAATGAACGCTCTTTGTTTAATCATAGTAACAGACGCTGGTTGATATATATATATATATATATATA